ATGACAGTGTCATGTCAGTCTTATGCACACCCCTTCAAACAAAGTGTTACCATAATATGTATAAGGGAAGTATGTATAAGTATGAACTGATCCATAAAGCTGCTGCATCTTTTTTTAATTTAAAAGTAAAGCATCTTAAAGGGGAAGTGTTATGTGTTCCAGACTCCGTATCATATTCTAGCACAATCAAGCAATTATGCCGCCTTCAGTTGCTATAAAAATCCTGTAAATATCAAACATGATTTAAAAGAAATTTGACTTCAGAACTTGAAGCCTTGAAATTGGGTCCCATCAACTAAACATTCTCACTCTCCTACTATTAACATCTTTGTTAACATAGAAAGTAATCCTACAGCAGCTCTGCTTCTTCTGTGCGTCCGTCTTCTCAAACCCCAGTCAGTCGTGGCAGACGGCTGCTTTTACCGATCTAGGTTCTGGTTCTGATTGATGTTTTGTTCTGTTAAAATTGAGTTTTTCCTCTCCAGTGTCGCCCCATGCATTCCCGGTATTTGGGGGTGAGGGTTGCAGTAAAGTCAATAACACAACCCAATGATTGTCTACTGTTGCTACATGGTCAACTGAGAGGAGTGAATGCTTCAAGTCAACTTTTAAAATGGATTTGAATAATGAATTGAGATAAATTGACTCTTCAGCAGTGTGACATTTTATTGCCAAGAGGCAAAAGAAAAAATAAATAATTGTTTAAATGTTCCTACTCCAGTTCATTACAGTCCCATTCTGTAAGATACCTTGATGTATTGTTTTCCAGTTTCAGGCTATTTGAAAATATGGCTTGGTGCTTTAAGAGCAGGATAGGGTGTGTCCATGTCACCTGCTGAGGTGTATTCATCCTGAAAAGACACACCCTGTGTATTACCTCAACACAAACACCGAGGTTGTTTGTAGGAGCGGATCATCTGTGGATTTTTTTTTTTACTTGAATCACAAAAGTTAGATCAGGTAGGGAATCTGCCTTTTTTTCTCAAATAAAGTCTCTGTGAATTTGTTGCTTTGTAACTGAAAATCATTTTTGTTTCCAACCCAAAGCTTCAGGCAAGTTCGTTTGACTCATGGAGCGTCTTAAGTTAGTCCTGCAGTATTTCCAGTCCAACTCTGAGTCCATCTCTAACGGGATCTGCATCGTCCTGGCTCTGGTCAGCGTCAAGCTCTACACCAGCTTTGACTTTAACTGCCCGTGCCTTCCTCAGTACAACAAGCTCTACTCTCTGGGAGTGATGACGGTCCCGCCCATCATCTTTTTCTTCCTGGGGGTCCTCGTCAATCGGCATACGGGTGTTATGATGGACGAGTGGATGAGGCCGGTTGGGAATCGTTCCAAAAATCCTGCGGTGGTGAAGTAAGTAAAAGATTTCCTAACTGCAAAGGTTTTGTAGAAAAGACAAAAAAAAAAAAAAAGAGGGAGAACAGTAGCAGAAAAAACTGCAGCCTTGAAGTGATGGTGAAGCAGAGCTCTTCAAGAAGTTGGGGCAGATTCACAAAGTGGACAACAGCTGACGTTAGAAGATTAAGGTCTACCGCACAGACGGATCCATGGTAATTGACTACAACTACTACAGACCTGCATCTTCTTAACCTGGTCCAATTTATTCCAAGATGGAAGTAAAGTTTCCATTTCATTTGGAAATCAGGGTTTACAGAGTTTGGCGTTAAGAGAGACCAGAGTACCAGAGTCCAAAGCTGCTGGAGGTCCAGTCTGAATGGAACACTCTCATTTTAGATAAACTGAATGTTGGGGTTTCAAATGAATTAACTTCCAGAATAGTTCATCTGTACCTGATGTCCGTCCTATGTCTTCTGTCAGATACCTGTTCTCTGCCATGCTCCAGAGGGCCCTGCTGGCTCCCATGGTCTGGATCCTGGTCACTTTGTTGGATGGCAAGATCTTCATCTGTGCTTTCAGCGTGAGTGTCGATCCAGGCCTTTTCTCAGGTAAACATGAAGCAGAATGACTCTTTTTCCAACAAGTTGCGCAATCATTTGGATGCTTTGCTGATTATATGATGTCTCTTTAGGTGTGCCCAACAACACAGGTCTGGATGTGATTAGGATCATGGCCAAGGTGCCCTGCAAAGAGGACGTTATTTTCCAGAACAGCTCGTTCCGTAAAGCGGTCTCCCGATATGTCCGCTGTTATTCTCAAGTGAGCTCTGTTAAAAAACTGAACACATTATTTCAACATTTAGATGTTGCCTTGGGCGGGTTGTAAACATATTTGTTGTTTAGCATTCGGGGCTGTGAAAAAGTGTGCTACCCCTGACATTTTGTTATATTCTTTCATTGTTGTCCCATTTAAATGCTTCAGTTCATCAAACAAATGTTAATATCAGGCAGAGATAACCTGGGTGAAAGGAAAACGCTGGTTGTAAATGATTAGCTTCACTATGGGTTGCACTGTTGCCTTGCAGAAGGTTCTGGGTTTGAATCCCAGCCTCGGCTCTTTCTGCATACAGGTTGCATGTTCTCTCAGCACATATTCAGGTTCACTCTGGTTTCCTCCCACCGACAGTCCAAAAATATGATTGTTAGATTAATTGATCTCTTCTCTGAGTTGTCACCTCATGTGAGTGTGTGCACAGTTGTTTGTCCTGTGACTGTGTTGCCGTGTGATGGACTGGTGACCTGTCTAGGGTGGACAGTGATCAGTCCTCCCACGTTCCTTCAAGGACAGCTGGGTATAGACAATGGATGGATATATGGTTTTAAGAGATGATTTCAGCTAAGGAAAAAAAAAATTCTGTCCAACCTCACCTGACCTATGTGATAAGGAGATTACCCTCGTCACAGCTTTGATTAACCACATATTTTGGAAGCTCATGCCTAGCTACTTGAGTTTTTTTTGATTCTACAAGTACTGCCCGACTTGTACAATCAAGAAATTCCCTTAACTGAACATTTCTGATGGCATGAAGTAGGTTGACAGATCTGAAAAAAACCAATATATGATTCCCATATGTGAAGAAATTCAAGATCAGTTGAGAAACTGATCTCAACTTTGGAAATAGTTCTTCCAAGGTCTGTATTTAATAAATAAAATAGATAAAATGATCATCTAACCCCTTAACTGACATGATGACACCAACATCCATATGAGCTTGTGTGGCAGTTAAAGGATTTTGTATTTGTTTGATGATCTGACACATTTTAACGGGACAAAACAAGCAAACAGAATAAATCTGGAAGGTACTCTTTCACAACTCTGTAGGTCAGGTGATTCAGTGAAGTAAAATCTGGTATCAATCCTGTCATTAACGAGAATACGGCAGAGTTAATGACTCGCAAGAGCTTCCAAAGCCTTTAGAGAAACTGAGAGTGGAGCAGGTTTGTCCATCCACATCCATGTTGACAATGGTTTTGTGTCGCTTGCTTTCCACAACATCTGTAGGCAGTTGGCTGGTCCATCCTCCTGTTCCTGATCATACTGGGAGCGATGGGACGCCTTATCAAACCCTGTTTTGAAGACCACGCCGCCTTCTTACAGACACGGTACTGGAGCAACTACCTGGACGTGGAGCAGAAGCTTTTTGACGAAACCTGTGTTCTGCACGCGCGTGACTTCGCCCGGAAATGTGTGGTGCAGTTCTTCGAGGACATGACGGAGGACTCGATACTTCATCTCCCACATCCGTCCTTCATATCGAATGTCAGCGAGAGGTGGGAGGAAGAAGAGGAGAGACTTCATGGGGTGACGAGGCAGGAGCAGATGGACCAGCTGCTCAACAAGTGGTACTATGGTAAACCTGAACTGGATGTAACCAGGATTGCTCACAGACCCAGGCCGTGTGTGACCTGGCAGGACCCAGGAGGGAGGACTTTATACTCGGATGTTTAAGACGTACTGCGGTGTTTTGGTGGCTGCTGTTTATTGCTTTGTTGCATTTTGTCCATGGAAGTACGACCTTACAATTAGGGCTGGGTGATTTTATCGATTCTGCGATATTTATCAATTTTTTTTTTCCTCGTAAAGTATTGATTTTCCATCCGTGAGTATCAATACGTTAAATCCTACTCAAATCCCTTGTGTTCCCACTTGCACATGTACATTAAAAATGACATGTAACCAAACAACCTGTTACAATTAAATTGCATTATCTAGTATAAGTGAATAAGACAAAATATGTTCCTTTTCTGTATTTGGGTGGCAAATACACAAAGCCAACCAATTAACATTTAAACAAAACAAATGTATAACAAAAACAACATTTATTTCACCAGTATTACACGATCAGTTCAATTAATTCAATCCAAGACTATGGAACACAAAATGTCACAAAATGTCACCAAAATCACCCTGGCCCTCTAAAATCTTTCAGAAAATTGCAAAAATGTATTGAATCGTACCATTTACTGAATATCATGATATATATCGTGTTGTGAGCAGAATATTGTATCGCATCGTATTGTGAGATTAGTGTATCGCTATCCCTACTTATAATGGACCAGGTTGGAAACATCAACTGGAGAAACCCTGACTTCTATGTAGGACATTTAAATCAATTAATTGCCATCAATCCCGACTTAGAAATCCAATATGTCTGTCACAACATGCCGATAATATATTTAATTGCACTGCTGATAGTTTGTGTCTGAATAAATCTATAGCACTTTGTACGTAATCTGTTTCTGAACAGGCTTCATCAGTGATAGAATAATAAAAAAAATTCTTCAGCCGGAAAAGGGTAGAGTGCCTTCTCCGGGTCAGGGGGGGTCGTCCTGCCTCAAGTGGAGGAGTTTAAGTATCTGGGGATCTTGTTCATTAATGAGGGAAGAAGGGAGCGGGAGATCGACAGGCGGATTGGGGCAGTGTCTGCCGTGAAGCGGGCGCTGTACCGATCTGTCGTGGTGAAGAGAGAGCTGAGTCAAAAAGCGAAGCTCTCGATTTACCTGTCGATCTACGTTCCCACCCTCATCTATGGTCATGAGCTTTGGGTCATGACCGAAAGAACGAGGTCCCGGATACAAGCGGCCGAAATGGGTTTCCTCCGCAGGGTGGCTGGGCTCTCCCTTAGAGATAGGGTGAGAAGCTCGGTCATCCGGGAGGGATTCAGACTAGAGCCACTGCTCCTCCACGTCGAGAGGAGCCAGTTGAGGTGGCTCGGGCATCTGTTCAGGATGCATCCTGGACGCCTCCCTGGTGAGGTGTTCCGGGCACGTCCCACCGGGAGGAGGCCCCGAGGAAGACCCAGGACACGCTGGAGGGACTATGTCTCTCGGCTGGCCTGGGAACGCCTTGGGATCCCTCCGGAGGAGCTGGAAGAAGTGGCTGGGGAGAGGGATGTCTGGGCCTCCCTTCTGAAGCTGCTGCCCCCGCGACCCGATCCCGGATAAGCGGAAGAAGATGGATGGATGGAGTCTTCAATTTTAGAACCTTTTCCTGATTTTTTTCACTGCGTTGTGTTTGTAAGACCTCGTTCTTTGTGCTCCGAGTCTGCTGCTGGGGAACTGGGCCTGGAACAGCTCCCCAAGAAAACAGCCTGAGGACCTCAACTCACGAATGAGAGAAACATATAATGGGAGTCTGATATGCCAAATAATGGTGGTTAAATGACTGTATTTGATCGCTGTTATGGATATCATGATTCTGTGTCCCTCCTCTGTCTCTCGGTCAAGCTAACGTTGAAGAGATGTCACAGAATCCCACAGAGCTGCTCTAACCCCAATATCTTCCAATCACATATTGAAATTGAAGTAAACGAATAATTCAATGGAAACAGCAACCATAAGGATGAAATATCACTCTGCAACATGCAGTTCTTACACTCAACAAACCAATGTCCTCAACCTGTTCTGTTCTGAGCTTGAACCATGTCAACAATTGTCATTTGAATATGTTTGTGGGTGTGGACAGACGAGCTTTGCATGGAGGTTTTCTCACAAACACAGAATGATGAGTGTATGCAAACGAACTCTGGACCAATCTGACTTCACATACTTACACTGATTTATTATTTGTTTTTTGTTGAGTTTGTTTTTCGTGATTACTCAGTGTCTTTCTGATTGTAACTATGACAGTCATCAACTCTGACTCTACTTCTAAACAACATATTGAAACTTTATTTCATTTTCTGCTTTTAAACAGAGACCATAGGATTGTTTTTCAAAGTAATCATGTAATTGTTTTTACAGAATGAATGTTTGTAATTGTGCTTGTCTCTCACTCGCTTTTTAAGTGTTTTAGCACATTCAGTTGTTAAAAAAAAAAGTTTTTTATTTTTTTTTTTTTTTTTTTTTTTGGTGAAATAATATTGAAGTTTTTGATGCTATTCATAAACTTTTGGCTACTCTGTCTGAAATGTTACAACGATGCAATTATGTTCTTTCACTTCCAGATTATGGCTCCAGCGGTGTGATACTTGAAACAGAAATTTAAAACTGCAATATCCATCGTCAGCAGTTTTGTAACAATAGGATAAAGGTCTCTTTGCTTAATCATACATGCAATACTTTGATAATGAGAAACCTTTTTGTTTTCTCTATCAGTCAATATTAAAGAAGCTGATCTCAATTTGCACAGAGCAGCAGAAATACTTGATTTCAGTCGATTTCTTGGATTTCTGTCACTATTTCTATTGATTTTAAAGTTGAGTTTGGTAGAAACAAGTTATTTTAAATGTTTGTCAATTCGGTGGTACTTGGAAAACTTTACCATGCAGAGGCGGCCCAGCCTTCTGAAAATGGTTTGAGCTACTCGTCCAAGGCAAGGCGCTCCTGAGCAACAGATGGCGCTAATGTGACTTTAAAGAATGAACCGGATGAAGGAAGAAACGCAGCGCTCGCGCTTCCGGGCGGGATGATTTTAAAATAAACAAGATGGATTTGATCGCTACGCTGCAATTTCTGAACCTGAACCAAGTTCCACAAGGTAACACTAAATTATTTTATTGTATTCATTATGAGAGCTTAGGAGAATGTCGGGATATTTGGCTTCTTACCGGTTCATTTGGCTGCGGCTCTTGTCGCAGTTTCCCGGGTTCGGTCAGGATGGCAAAACTGTCAGATTCTGACACCGGGGTCGACGAGATCAGATTTATTAAAAAACAAACGAAAAAGCCAACAAATGCATTTTCTGTTTCTCAGGGGGCTGCGAGGCAGTTTTATTTTAGCGCAAATATATAAAATGATGTAGCACAAAAACATGCATGTGAATAAAATGTGTAAAAATACAGATTTGTGGAAGGAAATAAAAGCAATGTAAATAGTCTACATAAAAGACTACTTGTGTCGTTTATGTAGAAATAATGGAAAATAGTCCAATATTCTTAAACTCCAAATTAAAGCTAGTTTTAAAGACGACAAAAGAAGGCTTATTAATGACTTTAGCGCAACAAGTGCCGAATTATTACCATAAAATTACGTAAACGTGCTAAACAAAAACATGTCTTCAGTTTTAAACGTTCCAATCCGCTCAGTCATTTTCAGGTCTTCCGGTAAAACAGACTATAGTTTTAAACTTTTAAATACATGTCGAACTTATTCGTAAATATACACACTTAACAAAAAGTTATCCTTGAACAAACAGTTACCTAAGTATCTTCCTCTTCTGTTTTGTGGAGAGTAATAAATGAGCATTATCATCGTGTTACTGTAGTCCATTTGAATCAAATTTTCACCTACACTGTTACCTGAATCCAGGAATGTTCTCTTGGTTTTGTCTAATTATTTTCTCTTGTCATTTACAATAAATGTGATGGAGCAAAAAAAGTCTCATCTTAGAATGTGGCATTTATTCCCTGTTTAGGAGACAAGTGCTTCAGTAGAAGATGATTCTTATCATTTCTTATTACTCAGTAGAATTTTTCAATGTTGATATTTTTTTAAAATTCTGATCACATTCATCTTCTGTAGACTTCAACCATTTCAGGTCAATAAACAGAATGTGGTTCAGAATGTAATTAATAATACATAATAAGACAGAATTATCAAGTGATATTTACAAATTTCCTGTCAACTTTAAACATTTTTTAACTCAAAAACACGATGGGCCGCTGCATGAATGACTGACCTAGCACCCAAACACCGGGCTTAGCCAGGGGAAACCTTGAACCGACTTGGTTGCTACATTGACTCACCTCTCGTATAAATTTTTCTAAACATTGGACCGGTTCAAGATGGCTCCTGGGAGTGGGACTGGTGCCTGTTTACATTTTTACAGGAAAGTTTGAGATGGTTCCCAAACTTAGTTTCTCTAGCAGTAATCAATACATAGCAAGTGTCTGACTTGCATTGTGATTTCTAGACTGGGTGGATGCCGTGTGGGACTTGGAGTTCATGGAGAGGAAACCGCTGGATCACATCATAGAGGACGAAGTGTGCGCCGGTGGAGAGAAGTCCTTCAGAAGCCTAATCCACTGTCTGCTGGAACATGCTGCAGATCAGCAGCAGCCTGCAGGCAGGGACGGAGCGTCACAGGTCAGCTCTCATACCACTTTCCTAACAGTTCACTCTGATTACTGAGTGTAATGTAAATCTGGGGAATGCTCTGGAGCTTGTTTTTGCTTCCTGCAAAAATCAGTATGCTGATCCTCCAGCCCTGCTTGTTTCCAAAGCTGCAGGGTGTCTGGGTGATCTTCGGAGAAAACAAGGTGTCGGTGAAGACTCTGGTGGCTGTTCTGTCCTCCTTCGTCCTGGCAGCAAAGACCAAAGGGGCCAACGTTCAGCAGAGGTTTTGCGGACTGTATGCAGCTTCTGTCTACCTGCTGCTGCTGGGAATCCCAGGTGAGTGTATCTGGAAACTATTTGTTAGAGCTTCTGAAATGCCAGAATTTGAATTTGCAACCTGCTTGTTTTGTCTTTGATCTCAAAATGTGTAAGCTATATCATTTGTTTTTAGAAAATCAGCCTGATACAACAACTCTTTAGCTGCGAAAGAGTCACAATGTTTTTGTAGCTACTGTTTTAGTAAATCTGTACAAACTGCACTCCATAGAGGAAGTTATGGTGACACTGGATGTGAATCTCTGTCCTGTGTGTTCTATTGGGTTCTTGTCGGGATTGAACTCACTACAGGGAGGCAACACCTGTCAGCCAGACATCGATCACTGAGGGAATGTCTTCAGTTTTTCCTCCTAAAATGTCCACTGAACTAATGATACAGAATTGAGACACTTATTGTCCCATCACTGTGGAAACAATGACTTACCTATTGGTCCACCATCGTAACAGAGCTGGGTTGCAGTGGTGGACTAAAAATTAGTTCTGTTCGACATGTTGCTAAGAAAAAAAAAATCAGTTTTTGAGTTAGAAAATATTTAAAGTTGACAAGAAATTTTAAAACATCACTTGATAATTATCTCTTATTGAAAGATTGGAAGATTAATATCTGAACACCAACTATAAAGTCTTAAAAAAATGCAAACATTTTAAACAGACTTAAATAAATAAGCAGGGCTTAGCCTGGTGGGGTCACAAGTAAAGCCTGGTGGCCCGCCAGGCTTATAATACTCTGGGGGAAACCCTGGGTTAATCATTAATCCATTAGATATTGGCTGTGGGGAAGAAACTGTCTTAACAGGGTAATGGGTTGGTAACTGTACGCAGTCCGACATGCTGCAGAGATGCATGTCGGACTGCGACTCTGCAGTTAAACATGTCGTCACTGGTCCAATCAGGCTGCGGAACCAGAGAAAACTACTGAGTCCGACTTTGTTTTGTCAAAGTTCCACACAGAA